CATGGCTTTTTGAAATTTCAACCGGTTTCAAGGTCAAGAGCCTGATCAAGGTCACGGAGGACGTTGGAGTAAGGAAATTCCACCATTTAAGCAGAAATGCACTTAAGAAAAGAGGAATTTCATTCAGACATCACAGATTTGCACATTGCATGCATGCATTAGAGAATTTGGGGGCAAAAAATGGTTTATTTCAATCCCTATGGACTGGTTTCCCAGGGCTAATCGAGGTCCCTTGCAATATGCATGTAATAAAAGGAGAATCGATGGCCCCATGTTGGAAATTGTCACCAAATGTCACTCGGGAGGTCTCGCAACTGGAATTTGTTGGAGAATCCGCCATCACCTACCTGGTTCCCGTTCAGTAAGATCTCAGCCGCAAAGGACGGTCCACCTGGGCACTGCAAGGTGAGGCCAGATGACCCTCACCCAGAATGGCTCCTGTTGTTGACCTTTGCCCCCGTGCGCCATGTTGGATTCTATGGGCTCTGGGTAGAAGAGGCTAAAACATGGAGCGTCTGTCTGCTGAGTCCTGCTGGGTTTTCTAGAGGGAGATGGAGCCTGAGAGGGGACGGCCGGGTGCCAGCTGGGTGCACGCTGCCCATCAATTCTGCAGACTTTGCGTTTTCTCCAGGGAGAGGGGATTTAGGRGTGTGGGCAATAAGTCACTCACTCGTGGGGAAGTTGTGAGCCACCTGCTGCATTTCTGCAGAGCTCACAGGACCTTGAGCATGTCTGGAAGAGCTACCTGTGATAGCGCTGTCTTCCTGGGTAAAAATAAGGTGTCAGAATTGGGACAGTGTGCGACTCAAACACCCTTCAAGGACCACTCCCGGGGTGGGGGTGGGTGGCTGGGTCATGGATCCCTGGTGTTTGTGGAGAGACTCTGTGAGAGATGACGTTAAGTTACATCAACAGGACAACCTGGACCCCAGAGCTACAACATCAAGGTCCTTGTGACACCTTTCAAGCCCTGCACCCCGCAGTTTAACCTCCTAGAAGTTAATATGCACCCAGGAACAAGGAACAAGTGGGAAAAATGTCCTCCTTTAAGACATTCAGTTCCAAATTCTTTTTGAAAAAATTCCAATGTTTATAGCAGCTCAATTCATAGTAACTCAGCGATGGAACCAACCTAGGTGCCCTTCAACACATGGATGGATAAAGAAAACGTGGTCGGTACCCATAGTGGAATATTACTCGGCCATGAAAAAGAATGAAATGATGGCATTTGGGTGGTAAATGGATGGAGCTGGAGAAAACCCTCTTAAGTGAAATGATCAAATCCCCGAACACCAGAGTCTGGATGTCCTCTCTGAGATGCAGACGGTGACACAGAATAAGGCCCAGGGAAGAACATGAGTTCACTGGATTAGACCAAGAGAAATGAACGGAGGGGAGGGGGAAACCCAGGGGTGCTTACCCACCCAGCCACGTCCCCAGCCCTATTTATTTATTTTTTTTATTTACAGACAGGGTCTCCTTGAGTTGATAGGGTTTCACTAAGTTGCTGAGGCTGGCCTCCAACTTGCCATCCTCCTGCCTCAGCCTCCCAAGTCACTGGGGTGACGGGCGTGAGTCACCGCACCCAGCTTTGGTCCATTTTAAAATAGAGAAATTTAAGTCCTAGCCACCTGCCCTGGCCCAAAATCACCCCGGGAAGGTTTGAGTAAGTCCCCACGCAAGGGAAGCCCTGCTCCCTTGAACATTTAAATACGGTTCCATCCATAAAACAGCCCCAGGTCCCAGGTCCTGGGAGAAGCCGTCTTTTCTGACCGGTTCTGCTCAAGTCTCTGTTGAGTGTTTGCTCGTGTGATTTCCAAGAGCAAGAGGTCCCAAGTGGAGCAGGGAGACATGAAATCCAAAGGAAACCCTCGGGGTGGAAGAGAAGGCGAGCCCCTTCCGATCCTCAGCCTCCCCGGCTTTTCCTTACGAAGCAGCA